TCTCTCTCTCTCTCTCTCTCTCTCTCTCTCTCTCTCTCTCTCTCTCTGATGCTGGGGACAAGAGAAGGGTAGATTTACACAGGGTTTAGCACGGAACTATAACCCCATTCGATCTGTTTGTGTGTTTGTTTTTTTGTTTGGTATTTTGACAAGCAGTTCTCCTTTGCTCTCTGATTCAGTTGATCTTGAGAATTGCCTAGAAGTCTTAGAACACGGGCCCCCTCCCCAAACCCCGCCTCCCGCCCCGCCGCTGCACCCGCCGCGGCCTCGCCTCCAAACACACACACACAAGCTGTATAGCAGGCTCTCTAAAAGAAAGAATCATTGTTCTGGTTCCTCACTTTGTTTTGGATCCAGAGCATCACACATGTAAAGGTGTAAGTGAGCAAACTAGGGCTCATCAAGCTCCCTCGTGTTGGGTACCACAGCAAAATTAGTACTTTGAAAGGGAGGAAGAGGATTCCGAAGCAAGAGCTGTTGTAAGCTTCTCCTGCCTTTTATGCTTCAGCTCCCCCCAACCCAAGCCCCTGCCGATTCACTGGAAGATTATATTAACTGCTTTCTTTAAGGGAGACAGCGTGGCCGGCACCTTGCTAAATGTTTCACAAGCATTCCCTCCGGGTTCAGCTATGGCACAATTCGCAGCAGCTCCGCCCCCTAGGGGACATTGTTGAGAAGTTCAGGTGCTTTCTTTGATGCCACACTAGATGCATAAACCTGCCCGGGTCTTTGATTCTGTGAAAATCAAACGTGCTTCCAATCACGTTAGAACTTTAACTGTGTTTTATATGTGAACATGAAATATGTTGACATCTTTTGAATCTACACAAAATTTTCTAAAAATACAACTAGCGTGTAAGTCTAGGCATATGGAATTTGTACTGGCTAGTCTTTTATCAACCTTACATACAAACTGGAGTTATCTGAAAGAAGGGAACCTCAACTAAGGAAATGCCTCCATGAGATCCAGCTATAGGATTTTCTCAATTAGTGAAAACTGGTGGCGAACCCATCCTATGGTGGGTGGTACCATCCCTGGGCTGGTGGCTCTGGGTTCTTCTATAAGAATGCAGACAGGAACAAGTGGGTAAGAAACACCCCTCCACGGCCTCTGTATCAGCTTTTGCCTCCAGGTTCCTGCCCTGTTTGAGTTCTTGTTCTGACTTTCTTTGATAAACCACAATATGGATGTGTAAACAAAATTAACCCTTTCCTCCCCAGGTTGCTTTTGGGTCACGGTGTTTCATTGCAGCATTGGAAACCCTCACTAAGACAGAACTCTTCCAATTTCAGGAACTTGGGCCAGCTGCATTCCCCACGTCTGAGTCAGCAGTCAGCATATGTCTGTCCATCGTATGTGTAACTGCCATAGGCCAAGGAATTCCTTGTGTGTTTAGGAATATATTTACCGAGATTTTATTTCAACACTCTACACATGAAGAAATACAATGCCAAAAGTATTCTAGAGTCTTGTATCCTCCTGCTCCTAAATCACAAGTAGATGCAGACCTCTGAGTTCTGCTGGCTTCCAGTACAGTTCTGAGTGGTCATTTATCACGGCAAGTGCACATTAATTATGTATGGTCCTACTTTTGTTCCTCTGCTATCATTATATTGATTTTAAAATTAGATATGTAGTACCCATAGATTCATTTCACAGTTACAAAGTGAGTGGCCCTGAAGAATTGTAGAAAGGGAGAGGGGAAGGGAGAGGGAGAGGGAGAGGGAGAGAGAGAGAGAGAGAGAGAGAGAGAGAGAGAGAGAGAGAGACCAGAGGCAGGCATGACTCTTGCAGAGGACCAGAGTTCAGTTCTCAACACACACCTTGGACAGCCCCAGCTCCAGGGGATCTGATGCCCCCTTCTGGTCTCTGAGGACACTTGCACCCATATGCACATACCCATGCACAAACATACACAAATAGATACACATAATTAAAAATAATAAATTAAATCATTTTAAAATGATTTTTAAAGGAAGAAAGCCATTCCAGCAGGAAGCTGCAAAGGAAACATGACTTGGTTGCAGTCAATGAACCAAGCAACGCATTAAGAAAAGAAGAAACTGGGAATGCAGGGTAGTCCATGAAAATATTTAAGTTTTGTGCAAACTAAAAACTGTCCTAAACAATAAAGTCAACTTTATTTTATTTTTATTTGAGGCAGGATATCATGTAGCCAAGGCTGGTCTAGCAGTCACCTATGTACCAGAGGATAACTTTGAACTTCTGATCCTCCCGCCTCCCCTTTACAGGTACTGGTATTGCAGGCATATGCCACAATGCCCAGCTTACGGAGTGCTGAAGATGGAAGCCAGGACTTCATGCCCAGGGCTTTTTCCATGTTAGACAAGCAGTTTGCCAACTGAGCCAACTAACCGCCCAGCCCTTCTTTTTATGTCTTATATAAACACAAGCCTCCCTGCAGAGCACGTGCCCTGGAAGATGAGTATCCCAGGGCTGGATGAGGAGAAAAACTAACTGTGTCATACGGGAGTGTCTATGCTGGGGCCAGAGTCGACTTCAGTGGCATCTACAAGGAGAGCCCTAGGATCGCTTGAAGAGTGACAAGTGTGTATGTATATGAACCATGCCTGCACTAGGGAGTGCTACATTTATAAACTCTTTCTCATAAAAAAAAGAAAAAGAAAAAACACAAACTAGGTCACGACCACAGACCATTTAGAGAGATGATATATTTATGAGAAGCATTATTTATTTTAGAGGCTTTGTACGCAAAACATTCTGCTGTCAGCCCTCTAGGTCCATGAGCTCCGTACCTGTGTATTCTGATAACCAGAGGTCACAGTAGACATTTTTAAATTGTACTTCTACCAAATCTGCAGAGATCTCTCTTTCTGTCTTCCCAGCCCCTGTGTGCGTGTATGTACGTGTGTGTGTGTGTGTGTGTGTGTGTGTGTGTGTGTGTGTGTGTGTGCAGGCCAGAGGGCTGATCCTCAGACACTGTCTACTTTTTTATTTTTCTTTTGTGTCAGTGTCATTCACTGGCCTGGAACTCGCCAAGTAGGCTCAATGGGATCCCCCGTCTCTCCCTCTCCAGTGTGTGCCACCTTTTAAAATATATTTTAAAACATAGGTGCTGAGAATTGGATTCAGGGCCCTGTGCTCACAAATGAAGCACACTGAGTTGTCTCCCCAGCCCTGAGATTTTTTTTTTCTCCTCATTATTCCTAAATAATACAGTGCAACAATCATTTACATAACAATAACTTTATTATGAGTGTGGTGGTTGATTTTCTACTTGACACAACCTAGAGTCACCAGGAAAGAGGGTCTCAGTGAAATACTATCTAGATCAGTGATTCTCAACATGTGGGTCACAACCCCTTTGGGGGGTCACATATCACCTATCCTGTGTATCACGTATTTACATTACGATTCATAACAGTAACAAAGTCACATTTATGAAGTAGTGACGGAATACTTTTGTGATTGGGGGTCACCACGACATGAGGATCTGTATGAAGGGTTGAAGCATTAGGAAGCTGAGAACCACTGCTCTACATCATGTGGTCCTGTGGGCATGTCTGTGGGGGGGGGGGTTACCATTGTTCTTAGTTGGCAGGGAAGACCCAGCCCACTGTAGGTGGGACCATCCGCTAGTTTGGAATCCTGGGCTGTAGAAGAATGAAGAAAGCAATCTGAGCAGCAGGCATGCTAGGACTCGGTCTCTCCCTGCGTCTCACTGTGGATGTGGGCAGCCATTTCAAATTCCTGCTGCCTTGACTTCCCTACAACAGGGGACTAGGACCTAGGACCTGGAGCTGCAAGCTAAAGAAACTCTTCTTCCCCTAAGTTGATTTACCAAGCCACCTTGTCACAGCCACAGGAACTAAGACAGTGAGCAGCTTAGAGATGATTTACAGTACACAGGAAGAGATGCATGTAAATCATTTTATACAAGGGATTTTGATGTGTGTGTAAGAGTCCTGGAACCAGTCCACCAGATACCACAGGGCAACTAAGCTATAAGATGTCCAAAAAGAAGCTGTAGAGACAGCTCAGGGGTCAAAGGCACTTGCTACCAA